GGCCAAGCCAGGCTGGAGCTCACGCCTGTCTGCGTCCCCGACCTCCGTTCGCTTCCACAGAGAAGCCCCGGACGGAGTGGGCGGTGTGCGGTGGACCTCGAGGAAGAGGAGGCGGAGGAGGAGGAAGAGAGCCGGACAGGGGCAGGGCTGCCGAGTCGCGGAGCTGGCGGTGGCCGAGGGCCTGGGCTCGTCCCCTAGCGCAACCTTCTGCCCTGCGACTGTCAGCAAGGAGACCGCTCCGCCTAACTCCAAAGCTCCGTGCTTGGGGCCCAAGATCTCGGGAAATCTGGAAAAATTGTTTGCCTTATATTCACATGTATAAATCAGAATGTGCTATAAACTCGGGTTGTCAAGAGGAACCATGTTAAACTGGTGTCGTCCTGATAGGAAAGACTGGATTTTCCATGTTTCTTATTAAAATGCCTGCCTTTTAGAAGAAGAGAACCATATCCGTGGTTCGGAAGAGACAAACCTGAACAGAAGAGTGGCCTTATCTTCACTTTCTCTATCTCGGAGTTGGTTTATTTGTTTTGTTGTGTACATTTTCATATTCTCCTTTTGACATTATAACTGTTGGCTTTTCTAATCTTGTTAAATACATCTATTTTTACCAAAGGTATTTAATATTCTTTTGTACGACAACCTAGATCAACTATTTTTAGCTTGGTAAATTTTTTCTAAACAGAATTGTTACAGCCAGAGAACAAAGATGATATAAAATGCTGTTGCTCTGACAAAAACACATGTATTTCCTTCTTGTATGGTGCTAGAGCTTAGATGAATCTACCTTTTAAAATATGGACGTGGGAAGTCAAGAGAACTGGTAAGTCACAAACACTTTTCCGAAAATAATCACCATCAGCCAGATGCAGCCTCTGACTCAGATCCAGGCTTTAACACCCAGACCCTCTCTGGGGGAGGCTGACCCGGCTCAGAAGAACATTTAGCACCTTGATAAAGTAGGACCACCTTCCAGACAGGTGTGCTGTGTTGTGCATTGGAATCATGTCCTATTTCTCTTGATGCTATGGTTTTCTTACCCATGTAAACTCTGTTCCATACACTTGTATAAATACATGGATTTTTTAATGTACAGAAGTATATCCTTTGACCAGTTCACTTATTATACTCTTTGGCAATTGGAAAGAAAATCAGTAAAATACTTTGCTTGTAAAACGCTTAATATTGTGCCTAGGTTATGTGGTAACTATTTGAACTAAAAATGTACTGAATCATCCAATAAAAGAATATGGCTATTTTGGGGAGACACCAGTGTGGATGTGTGTGTGTGTGTGTGAGATTTGTCTTTTGGACTCCAGGAAAATGAACGTGTGGGTTTAGCTGTGATTCTCAGTGTCACCTCCGTACTCCACTGCTTTCGAAAGTCCTCAGTCTGGTCCTGGATGCTTTTTGGCGCATCAGTTTTGCCCTGATACTCATTTGTTTGGTCTTCCACTGACAATCTGGAACCTGTGGGTGTCACCTGCCTTGTGATTCACTCTCCTTTCCAGCCAAAACAATTTGTGCTTGTTCCTTTAGATACTCACTCAGTCCCGCACTGCCCCGATGCACCGAATGACACGTACCCACAGAGTGGCCACTCTGTGAATTCAAGAGCGGCGTAGAAAAGGAGCCATTTCTATGAGGGGCCTTTGCCCACCTCTTCTTTCCCATGCTTTCAAGCCCTGTTGCCCGACCCCCCGCCACTCCTCTTAGTGAGGATTTCTGATGAACTGCACTTGACTTTAAAGTTGTCATTAGAAATGCTTCGTGATGGGCTGTGTAACAGGCTGGACCCTGGCATGGGAACCCCGTGCCTCTCTGCTCATACCTTCATTACCAGGGTAACTGTGGGGCTGGGTGAATGGAAGTGGATTGGATGTGTGGATTATTTTACGCAGCCCCAGGGTGTGGCTCCAGCGCCACACGGAGGGGGCTGCTGTCTCCAAGTCCACCCGTGGCTCTCAGCTGGCCCAGAGTTGGTGACAGAGCCACACCCTCTTCAGACTGCTCCACTGACATCTGGCAGTCTGACCTGCCTGCCACTGCCTGCCAAACAGATAAAATAAATATATGTGTTCTGTCTTATTCCTTCAACTCGTCCTACTTTTGTCTCAGGCTTCTGAAGTCCCAGATGCTTCACAGAAAGTGCAAAGTAGTCAGCAATTTACAGCTCTCTTGGGCATCAAAAAGACTATGGTGTCTTACAGTTGATGGTTGCTTAGCTGTGTTTAATCCAACGCATCTATCATTGAATGGCATATACTTTCCCTTTTATTATTTTAATATACAGTTTTTGATTCCTTAGAAAATGTTGTCGTTCAAAAGGAATCATTCCTTTTCCAGTCAGTGGGATGAGAGTGAGGATATTGTATGATCATTGACTCAGGGATCTCCTTGTATATTTTACTACGAAGGAGAAGAGCTATGCACTAATAACATGTGTGACCCCAATGTCTCAGAAGTCCGCGAGGTATTGACTGTGCTGACCGCACATTATTCTTTAGATCTTGGTATCCGTGATTCGCGCCTTTGTCCCTGAGGGGGGCCTGTATTGCATATGTATTAAAAGAAAACAGCTGGGCCTGGGGATTTAGCTCAGGGGTTTCACCGCCCACCTCACAAGCACAAGGTCGCAAGTTTGATCCCCAGTACCCAAAAAAAGAAAAAGAAAAGAAAGGAGCAGCATTAATATTCACAAGGCAGGTGCTAGTGTCTGCATCTTTCTTTTCCACATCTCGCCTCCGTGGCCCCTCTCTCACCTCATACTCCTTATTGACTTGGAAAAGGTGCAAGGAGCAGAGTGAGGGCAACCTGCACTACGGTGGAAATGCCTGGCGTCCGGCCCCATCCTCAGTGCCTCACTCAGGCTTCGGGCTGCCTCAAGGAAAGGCAGAAAACAAGAGTTCCACGTCCCATGTGACAATCTTATCTCCAAAAGGATAATGTAACATCCTTGTCTTTGGCGATTTAGTCTATCTGTGCAGTTAAAGTTACAAATATATCGTCCTTCAAATACAGTAAACATCTCAGCTCCAGCTCCGATAACCAAGCATGGAAGACCCTACTGCTTATGAACACGTGTATTTCTCACCCTTCTGGGCAGAGGTGTGAGCCAGGTGCGGGCCTCCTCCTGCCCGGCAGGCTGACCTTTCACTGAGCAGGCTTCCCGGGACCGCCTTTCGGTAGTGCAGAGCATGACCTGATTCTCTCTTGAGTTTCCCACCGGTGATGTGCATGAAGCCACAACCTCAGCATGTGACAGTCAGAGAGAGGCGTTTATGCCATCGCAATAGGTGGGTGGCTCTGCAACCTGCTCCCCTTCATGGGCCCTGTGCGGTCGGTCGGTTGGGCGCCGAGTCTCACCTGCTGCCTTTTTGTCTCCTGTTTGTGTTCACTCCCGGGTCCCCGGCCTTCTCTACCTTCACCCTCCCGCCCCTGGCCGTGCTCCTCCCTGATCCACCCAGCTCTCCAGGAACAGAGGTTTTCAAGCAAATCCCTGTGTGTCACGTGCAGGACATTTCTTAACAGAACGCCCTGAGATTCAGTCCTGAACTTTGCACGGCACACAGAGTCCTTCCCAGCCCTTTTTACCGCTCTGAGCCTCACAGTCCTGGGGAATACCTGGGGTTTCCTGGGGGTGTGGACGGCTGCTCAGGTCTCTGGGAGGCTGTATTGGGGCAGTGGCCTGAGCCTACCCTGCTTCAGCCACTTCCGGTCAGGTCAGTTCACAGGGAAGCTCCCTCTCCTTGCTTCTGTCTTCCCCACGCCTCTCCTATTGTATTATACATCTAGTGGGATTCTCAGCAGGAATTGTCTCATTTTTCCACGGTGCCTGTTTAGGCAGTGAATCAAATTAGGGTTTTAGTAACAATTGCATCCGTGAATAAATAAAGTGACTGTATAAATGAACATATGACTTTTAATGCAGCACTGATCGTGGAATCAAAAACCCAAAAGAGCCAGACATCATAGTGGACAGCTGTAATCTCAGCCCTTTGGGAGGCTGAGGCAGGAAGATCGCAAGTTCAAGCCCAGTCTGGGGGCAACAACATAAGACACTGAGTGAGATGCCCCCTCATGCCATCACCATGAGAAAAATATGCTTTGAGAAGTTTGCTGTCCCAGAAAATACTGGGTGCAGATTTAAACCCACCTCACCCTACCACGGAGATAAATGGATGGTGGACGAGAAATATGCAGTGAAATGTGGAAGGCGCTTGTTCTGCGCGCTGTGTAGGGATAGTTGACCAATACATGGGTACCACAGTGAAAATAAGGCCAAAACATACACGCTGTTTTTTTAGTGAACCTATTATGTGCACAGTTTCAGTGGAAAACATGAAATAAAATAGAGAAAAACACATTCTTTGGCAAATGTTTCGTCAACACAGCACATGACTTTCGAAACAATCTCAACAAAGTTGTGAGGGGAGAATAGCACTGAAAACTCCAAAGCCCCAAATCATTGGCTGAGCATTTATTTTTATGTCAGGCGGGATCTGTTCATTTTCTAGCAAGGAAGAAGAGATCAATCCTTCACCTATTTCACCCACAGCTTCACCCCACATCCTCATTTGTGTTAATTATGCTGTTTATTTTATAATTTAATAAATATTACTAAATATTTAATGAATATAACAACAGTTTAAAACACGTGGTAAACATCTCATCAAGGGTTTCATCTCGGTGATGTTAGTAAACACTTTTGTGATGTGAAATTCTTCTGGAAATTTTGCTCTTTTTTCTTTTCTTCCCGGATTTGCTCTTTACCACTCCCTGCACGTGGG